TCAGCTACATGTATTCTTATATCTTAGCAGAATAACAAAATTGCTGGAAGCACAATTTCATTCTTGAAATGCCACATTTTCCTGAATTTCTTGATTAGCAAATCATTACAGAAAAGAGGGTATTCCCCCAAGGTTGCTTTTTTTGCTGGTAGGTGAGATTATGATTATTATTGTGTAGCAGTGAAGTGCATGTACATGTACATGTACCTTATGTTTATTAACTCACTTTCTTTTAGGCCAGAACAATTTTCTTTCTTTCTTAGTTTCTTCTTAATTTTTTCACCTCATTTTTCTTTTTGATGGGGGAAGGGCCCAGATCCCCTGTCCCACTGTGCTCCAGCCCCCTGGATCAACTTCTGATTCATGCATAACTGATAAAACAAACACCCAACAAACATTGCATACATTGTAGCAAAGTTATTAGTAGACACTAGACAGAAGTAAACGTCTGGTACATGTATGAGGAATTCATTAATATTAATAAAAGTGTCATTTGTCAAACTTCTCAATGCACAGAGCCTGAGAGGGTAGCCCTTGCCCCACACACACAATAAGGGAATTAACTTTCATCTGAATCCGGCAAAAAGTTCATACTCAGTTTATCTTAATCTAGACTTAACAGTTTGATTTACAAGAAATGATGATGAGTAAGCAAATAGATCTAATTTTTAAAACATCAAAATATAAGGACTCACTTTTAGCTTATCTATCCATTTTCTTGAAGCTACAATGCTTTTCATTCTCTGTATAGAGGTGTTTAGTGGAGCCACCCATCGAACAAACGTTGAAATCAGAGACTGAAGCTTCAAGTTCAGGTCTAGACTAGGGGGTTGCTATAATTTTTATGAGACTCTTTCCACACTTACTTTTTTAAATTTAAACTTTAAGGAATAGTTGACTACATTACTCAATTTATGTTAAAGCGAACTTGTGTAATTTGAAGATAAACATTACATTCCTCAAAGGGCTCCCCATCCCTCCTCCCCCCCCCCCCCCACTCAGTGTTATTTAGGGTACACGCACATGCATGTTCCCTTTTAAAAGCACCCCCTATCTCCGGTGTGTAAAGTCAATACGGGCCAGATTTTGTTGCTTAAAAGTACCCCTTTATCAGTGATTTTGGGAACACAAATACGGTCCCTCCGACCCTTAAGCAGTAGGGACGCTGGTCTGAAAATGTGGATCGTCTTCATAAAGGAGGATATCTTCATGAACGTGGCAAAATGCGTCCTCATTTTCGTGGACGTTTTTTTTCATTGGCACTCTGCAGGTTTCGGGTTACCGAACCGCCTGCTGGTGACGCGATAAATGCATTCCGCCTAAGAAAATAACCCTCGTTCACCGTCTACTTTTATGGGTTGTCCATCTTCCCAAGGATTTATCGTTCATAATGTGAAAGTCTCTGTAGTCTACAAAGTAAAAATGCATCAAGAAAATCGTCGCTGAATATGTTTTTTGCATCACCAATGCGCCTATCTAAAATATGAAACGTCTGGGAAAATGCGGACGATCCTCGTTTATGCAGATGATCCTTATTGGGCCGGGTCGCCATTAAGACAACACATTTAATCTAATTAAAACAAACACCATCGCCCTTGGCATTCCCCCCCCCCCCCCCCCCCCCACCCCCAACCCGGCCCAAATAAACCATCTGCTGAAATGACCTAAATCTACAGTGGAACTCTTACAGTTTTAGTAAAAGATCAAGTTCTGCTTTACTCACATTCACGAATGGAAATGGAAGGAAGTCGCCGTGCACTGTCTGATCTGGAACAACTCAGATTAAGCTTCGCTTCGCTAGTAACTAGTCGCCTCTGATTCTCCTGCAGGAAACCGCTGATGAGGCTAGCTGATCGCCCGAAACTTCGGCGACGTGTCGCTTCGACAAACGTGTCAATTCAATCAACACCTTGGTCCGCAAAATCCTCTTCTACAACAGATCAAACGTTTTCGATATGCCTTCCAAACTAGGTGAAAACAATCTATGACTTAATAGGTAGTTCGTGTCAAACTACAGAATAAATGACCGCTTGCTAAGTAGAAATAAACAGTGACTTTGTCTCTCAAGCAGTACGTCGCTGGCTTCTCAGCTAGCTCGTTGACTGCAATTAATTAATATTCTCAATTTGTGATCTGTCTGCTGCCCTCACATTTCAACCACAGTGCAGTGGATGAAAGAAATATTATAACTTGTCTGATTGCCTCTTTATCTTTCGGCCTTCTTCTTCTCTCTTTCTCTTTTTCTCTCTCTCTCTCTCTCTTTCTCTTTCCCTCTCCCTCTCTCCTCCTCCCTCCCCCTCCTCCTTCTCATTCCATACCCCTCCTTCTCCTCCTCCCCGTCTTTCTTCTTCCCTTCTTTCCCTCTTTCTCTTCCTCTTCCTTGTTCTTGTTCTTGTTGGTGTTGTTGTTGTTGTTGTTGTTGTTGTTCTTCTTCTTCTTCTTCTTCTTCTTCTTCTTCTTCTTCTTTGTCGTCTTCCCCTTTTTTTCCCTTCTTTTCTGTTACTTCCTTAATTCTCCGAGCTCCGAGTCGATTTTCGTTTTAACACATCAAAAAATTACTGAAAACAATTTGGAATTGCCCCTACATGAACAAACCAAACAATTTCAAACTATAGTGCGTATTCATTTTTTTTCTTTGGTTACTTTGTATTTAAATGGTCCTTAAATTTTCTGCCAGCTAGCGAAGTGGTCGGGCAAATTATCAAAGTTTTTTTCTGATGATGATGAAGATCGCAAGTTTAACTTTAAATTTGTTCGTAGACTAGATGTTTCTGCATTTATTGAAAATCAAATACAAAATATAAAAACAACAATAATAATATATAATATAATCTATACAAATACCGAAACAAATACATAAGTTTTATTGAAAACTTGAAAGTACGGAGGTAAATTAAAGAATCAAGATTAATTCAGAGGCCAACTGCCATAAGCATGAATGCTTGACAGAAGCGGATCTAGAGGGGGGTTGGGGGGGTTGCAACCCCCCCCCCCAAAAAAAAAAAAAAAAAAAAAAATCCGGGGACCATTTTTTTAAATCTTATCTTTTTTTTTAAACTTGTAATTTTATTTTATTCTATTTCTATGTATTTATTTCATTTATTATTATTATTATTATTATTATTATTATTATTATTATTATTATTATTATTATTATTATTATTATTATTATTATTATTATTATTATTATTATTATTATTATTATTATTATTTCTTTTTGGGGGGAGGGGGGGGGGGGTTGGGCGAACAAATGTCACAGAGTCCCTTGCCCCCCCCCCCCCCATCAGCTTTTTTGAGGACACGGGCCACCGCCGAAGTGACAAGCTAGGCCAGCGTTGCCGATTCTCATCCCCAAAATCCCCACATTAAAAAAAAAAAAGGAAAAAAAAAAGGAAAAAAAAAAAGAAGAAAAAAAAAAGAAAAAAAAGAAAGAAAAAAGAACGCACGCTGGAGAGAAACCCTTTCAAGTGCAAATATTGTGAGAAGATATTCAACTCATCTGGTAACTTAACCAAACACATGATAACTCTGGATATAACTGTGTATTTAACTGTTACTTGATTTAAAAAGACGTTATCATGCACTGCTTTTTATGGTCTCCATTGTGTTAATAGATGCCAGGAAAACATCACTTACGGGGTTCAAATAAACACCCCAAAAAAATCGGCTCGCCGCTTCGCGGCTCGTGGACGATGCTCCGCATCGTCATTATTGGTCAACCCCCCCCCCCTGAGCAAAAAGCTAGATCCGCCCCTGCTTGAGTCGAAAGCAACGGAAGTGGGGAGGGAGGGCTACATGATGCTGTTATATGAGTAGATAGGAGAATGGAGTGTCACGTATGAATAATTGTGTGTGTTTACAGTGATATATATTATTTACAGGGATATGATATATTTTCGTTTTAGGACCATACCATTTATCAATACAGAGTGTATTTTCAAATAACCATATACGGTAAATATCTTATCATTTTATGAACAATAATTTTCAATTAGTTGTAGAGGTATAGCATTGTGACAAATCGACTGTTATTCGAGAGAAAAAATCAAAATGGAAGGAAATTCACTTTTAGCCCAGACCACAATCTCTTTTAGAAGAATAAACAAGGCAGCATCAATGTCAATATTCTTAGGATGTGAGCTTCTAAAATTATATGATAAGAAAATATGCTGCAAAGGCGAGTGAGATTACCGAGCGAGCTTTGAAAATCATGGTTTTGAGTTAACAAAACAAAAAGTTTCTTCAAGGGGTACAACTTGTTCTTATAAATTTCGGGCGTTGTGACCCCCTCTCCCTGCTCCACTGACTCACATTATACTGGAATCATTGCGGGAACCTATTTTTATAATTATGAAGCCTCTCTTATTCTTTCGTCCCTCGATATAATAATTTTCTTTACCTTCCTCTGTGTCTTCCCCCTCTCTGTCTACCCCCCCCCCTCTCTCTCTCTCTCTCTCTCTCTCTCTCTCTCTCTCTCTCTCTCTCTCTCTCTCTCTCTCTCTCTCTTCGCATACATATCTACCCCTCTTTCTTATCCTTCCTCTGCTCTTTAATTTATCAAACTATGAAGTACGTTATGTTCTTGAAAGTTCACAGTTTTATTGTAATATCATGTATAACTTTAAAATAGCAGAGTGTGATCAATCTAAAGAGCAATAGAGATTGATCAATAAAGCTCTGAGAACTTTATATATAAAGAAATCAAATCATATTCTCACAATCCGTTCATGAAAAGAAGTAAAAGAAAATATTCAAACTTTACAGACAACTGTCAGTGTACAATGGATATGAGGAAGAAATTGATGAACTAAACAATATTAACGAAGGCGTATCCAAGGTTGTCAGAATAGGGCGGGGGAGGGGGTAGGGGCGAAAGTCGACACCCTCTTAGCCATGGGAGGTTGTGGCCGGTTTGGTCCGCCCATGGACAACCTTATAGATCCGCATAGAGTCATCATGAAGAAGGGTCTATGTTCTGTCCATCGATTTTGGACCTCCCCTTGAGGTAAACTCTCCTTACGATGTCTTTATTCCTGTAAAGTCCAAATCGATTCGACGATTGTTAAAGTCTCCATCTTGCATTGACAAGAAACACGAAATGAATTATTTGTCTCGTTTTAATGTTAGCGCAGCCCATCGTAGTGGTTGCCTCTTTGTTGTACACAAGGACTTCAATGCGCAGCAGGGAAAGGAATATAGACATTGACTATATTTTGATAAGACACTTAGGGCATCGGTTCTAGATGCTATTCTACCAACACTTTGAAGGCAAATGTAACTTGGAGAACTAAATAAGGAATAAACAAGCGAAGATGGGCGCAAGAGATTGGATGGGTTTCTCCTCTTGGTTTCGTGTTGCTCTGCTTCTCCTGTGTTTCGCCATCTTGAGAGTTGTGGAAGGGGTGGAACAGGCAGAGGTCTACAAAAGGCAGATCGTCCTAGAGGTAATTCGTCGATCGGCTTCCAGCAAAAAGGACACTACCATCATGTATTACTAATGGCTATAATCATGACAATGTCCTTTTAGCATCAACGTGACGAAACAAATTGTTTTACAAATGTTGGTGATAATTGTTTGTGAGAATAATTGTTGTTGTGTGTATGTGTAAATATATGAGAGTGGAAATCCTCTCTTTTAGGTGTCATTATTTTAGGGTTCACTTCGTTTTGGAGAGGAAAATTATATTAGGGGAATCTACTCTTAAATAGGTAAGCATAAGAAAAGGGAGCTCCCTCTTAACCCTAATAAGGCCCCTCCACGATTTTTCTGATTGCTCGGGAAAGCATATGGATGGCGCCCCGCCGCTCGCTGACTTTTTTCTTTCGAGTCTTGCGCAACTTTTAAAAGATTTTTTTTTGAAAATCGGACCTACGGTTACAAGGTCACGTGACCTTTTGTCTTTGCATGTCAGCCCGAAAATCGCTCATTTTCGTGATTTGTGTACAAAACATAAGGAAAAGTCATTTTTCCTAAAAACAGATCAAACATGGGTTATTGGATCTTGTTTATAGTTTAGGTGGTTGTTTTGGGAGTCAAAATAGTTGAATTGTACTAAGAAATGAAATAAAACAACAAAAACAATGAAATACATAACTTTAAAAAACAATGCCTAAGAAATTATCAAAACAAGGGATAACATAAGGAAAAAGCTGGCTCTTCCATTTTTTTTTTTGTTGTATTATTATTATTCAGAATGGTCTAATGAATATATGAAGTGAAAAAGAATGCTTAAATATGAATAATATATGATTTATGGGTAAAAATGTAATTTTTATGACTTTATTTGCATAAATTACCATACATATGCAAATGAGTACATTTTACAAAAAATTGAAATTATCATATTATTTTTTACACTTCACTTGACATGCGTGCAAATTTTCTCGGCGATCGGCCGAGATCTTAAGGGGGCCATAATGGCCCCCCCCCCCCCGGCCATACTAAGACCTCAAATAGCCCGGCCTTTTAAGGGTTAAGAGGAGTAATTGAAAACAATGATACTCTCTAAATACAGGTGGCCAAAAGCAAAGAGGAATAAAAGGAGAGAGAGATAGGGGGGGGGGGGGGTGGCAGGGAAAAAAAGAGAGAGAAAGAAAAAATTGAGAGAAAGAGATAGGTGAAGAGGAGAGATAGAGAGAGAGACCTTTTTTTTCTTCAAATGGTTAAATGAATGTTATTAGCAGTTGATTTACCCTGTAAAATGTTAAAAGTCAAGGTAACTATATATTTTCAAGCCGTGTGGAACTCATAATCTTCAATTTTGTTTAAAATAAAGATTGTTTTAATAAATCAAACAAAAGTTAAGAGGAAGGACGTGTTTCCCACCTATTTAGATGAGAATTATTTTGTATTAGTTTTTTTGGGGGGCTGCCGCTGTTGTTATTGTTGTCAATATCATTGCTGCTGTTGATTTTGGATTTTGCTGTTGTTGTTGTTGATTTTGTTCCTTATTGTCAGCGTCTTGTCCTCTTGGGTGAAATCAATATGAAATCCCTCAAAGGGAAACACACCATTCATTCCTAAATGGCATAATCTCTCATTAATTATATATTTTTGCAGGAATGTTCTGCAGGTTCTCCCGGGCCAGCTGGACCACCGGGTCCCCCCGGGCCCGACGGGGAGTCCGGGGCACCTAGTCCAGTAACCACTAACTGGAAACAATGCTCTTGGTCGTCAGTCAATGATGGTAGAGATTCGGGATTGTTCAAGGTATGATGATGATGAGATTAATGATGATAGTAATAAAAGTAATAATAATATTAGACGGGGTAATAATCGTGCATGGATCGCCAGGGGTGTCACGTCTGTAAGACAAGAGCTAAACGAGAACCAACTATAAAATGTGTATTATAATTATTATAATAATAATAATTGTTATTATTATCATTCATATTATTATTATCGTTATTATTATTATTATTATTATTATTATTATTATTATTATTATTATTATTACTATTATTATTATTATTATTATTATTATTATTATTATTATTATTATTATTATTATTATTATTATTATTATCAATATTTATGATAACGAGATAATAATAATAACAAAAATGTTATTTTTGGTTTATATAGTGCATAATTAAAGGTGAGTTCTGGTTTTTAAAAAAAATGAATTCTCACAGAATCTAACGAAACTTACACTGAATGTGTTCAAGATTGGTAGAAAATGTATACTGGCTGAGTAATGAGAATAGAAAGATTAGAATATCAAGGTTAGTAGCCCCGACATCATGTGTAGTCCCATATACATCTTTCTGTGTATAGTGTTTGTTACTTTACCAAAACTGGGCCAAATTTATTATGATTTTGATGACTTTGCAGTACACACCAATACTTACATGCGAAATGACCAACTTTTTTTCTGATCCATTCCACACGTTTTCTTTCACAATGCAATCGGATGACCAGAACTCACCTTTATCTTTAATATATTTACGATGTCTGTGAACGGTGGATCATATTGGATGAGGGGCGTCGATAGATTATATAAAACACATAATCGCCACATTTGCAAGTTTGCTTTTGATCTTCTGAAAAATTCTACATTATTATTAAAAAAATAGATATATAAATAAACATGAAAGAAGGAAAAGTATGATCCATTTGCGTTTTGCCTACAAGCATCTGAATATAAACAAATAATTGTCGATCAAAAAAAGAATGTGGGGGGGGGGGCTAATATTTCATTATTTACAACCCAAACCTCTTCTCGGTAGGATGCGACCGTCATTGTTGGTCAAACAGTTTTTGAGCGTCAAGTAACGCCTGGCTGGAATGCTCCCCAGGGAGTGGAGATTGTGCACACAGCGTCTGCGGGCAAGCACTGAATCCAATGACCGGGGAAATACATGTAGTATATTTGTAAAGCGCTTAGAGACATTTGTATTAAGCGCTATATAAAAGCTAAATATTATTATTATTATTATCATATTTTTTTCTTAGTCCTGCTCTTTTACAAAGGAGTACTCCGACACGGCTATCTACGTCTCTTGGTCGGGTAACCTTCGGCTATCTGGATCAGGGACGGGGTGCTGTAGATGGTACTTCGCCTTCGATGGTGTCGAGTGCTCCAATCCGAACAAGATCGAGGCAGTCGTGTATGCTTCGGGTTACAACAGCTATAACCTGCATCGACCTAGGGTCATGATGGGTGAGTTATGAAAATAATTATCATGAAAGGCAAAATGTCAGGGAATTTCCGTATATAGGTTAACTCAAGTACGAGGTTAGAGGTGTCGTGGTCGAGAAGATTAAACCCGTTGACTGGAGATGCGGAGGTCAGGGGTTCGAGCCCCGTTTAGGCACTAATATCCTTTAGCAAGACAATAACCTACTTTTGCCACATCATTATGATAATAGCTACAATTATATTGCGCACGTATCCATCATATAGGATTGCTCAACGCGCAAAGTAGTATTATTACCCTTGTTTTAGCTGACCTATAAGGCGCTAATTGCATTGAGAGGGATAAATATCTTTGCCATGCAGGTGCCATTTACGATACCTGGGGGGTGTTTCACAAAGATCCTAAGTAGAACTTAACACTAAGTGGGACATAAAAATTAAGGACAGCCATTGGAGCCTTAAAATGAAATATATTCAAAAGCAGAAATTCAAGTATTTAAGACTTTTTATAAATTCCACATCCAGAACATGAAATCTCCTTGATGATAGAAAATATGAATGATTTGAATCAACATTTTATGCCTTTTAAAATAAATTTTACATATATTTTCAAAGATGCTAATGGCTTTCCATATTTTTTAAGTCCAACTTAGAGATAAGTTCAACTTAGGATCTTTGTGAAACACCCCCCTGGGTGGAGAATGTAGATTAATGGCTTGCCAAAAGGACATTAGTGCCGCGGCGGTACTCGAACCGCGAACCTTGTGATCCACAGTCCGGTGACGTATCCACCATGTCACCTCTATGAAAGCATACTTATGGAAACGTCGACACATTTAAAGCAAACATGATCATCATCATTATCAGTCAAATTTCCAGAATTTCACCACGTTTTTATTTCAAAGGAATTAAAACGCCCTTAAAAGGGCTACTGCCCCGTTAAAAGCCTTTTATTGAGGAGGGGCGCGGTCTCGACGTTTAGATTAGTATGCTCTAATCGTGATCAGCGTATAGCGCACTAACTAGTTACACTGAAATATGTACCGTTTTCATTAGGATGTACTCACTATTTACTGTAGAATGTAGATAATGAATAATGAACCATTTTATTTAACAAACAATAATTCTACTCAAGACATGTACTGTCTTGTAAGTCGGACTTTAAAAAATCATATACTGTGCCGATAACAAAATGTGTAAGCTGTTCCCCTGTACCTTTTAATCTTTCAGGTTACTGCTACGGCATCGGTGCCGGCAGCGTAACAGTAGGGTTCTATGTCGGGCAATGCAGCGGCTATGGGACCTACGACTGCTACACCGGATGGATCAGTGGCAGTCATATCATGATCGAGGAAGTTACAAAGTCTCCTTACGACTAGTCACAAGAAAGCGCGGTGATAATCCAAGTTCCGGGTCCAAGTTTTATTGGCACTGTGGATGCACCGGGACAAGTTCTGAACAAAACTTGAAGGCAAACTATATTTCTAGACTATTAAACCTGAACAATAAATTGAAATGCTTGATAAACTTCAACAATCTTTGTCCGATGAAGAAAAGAAAAAAAAACGTTACCAAGGCAACAACCCGCATTATACTCAGGCGCGTTGACGTGTTCCAAGAGGGGGGGGGGGGGGGGAGAGCCCCCAGAAGCTCAGAGGTTTTAATATTTAACTACGCGTCAGATGAGCATCCAGGAGCCATGTTAGGGCCCTTGGTGTGGTCCAGGGGGCAGAACCCCCGGAAGCTAAGGGGTTTTAGGTATTTAATTACGGTCAGATGAGCATCCAGGGGGCCGCCGTAGGGCCATTGGTGGGGTCTAGGGGGGCAAAGTCCCGGAAGCTCAGGGGTTTTAAGCATTTAATTACGGTCAGATGAGCATTTTTATACCTTATTTGTGACATTGGCAGGTCACCTATTTTTTTCTCCGTCTTTCTTTTTTTCTTCTCTTTAACATACTTTTTCACAAAAAAAGGGGGGGGGGGGGGGCTCGAGCCCAGCCACTTTGCATATCATGACATAAAGGCTTCTAAATTAGCGTATTTCGCCTGACTGTAATTTGGGAATTTCTTATTTTCCAACAAACGCATAAAAAGGTATGACTTACGAAAAAAATGGAAAAAAAATGCCGGAAAATCATGTCACAACATCAACATTTGTAAATCACTTGTTTCGAATAAGAAATACATAACCCCCCCCCCCCCCCTCCATCAGTACGCCAGCGTTTAGGGGCTCATGTCTTCTCACCCCTATAACAAAAAAAAACGGACATGCTTTCCTATTCTCGCACAATATGTCCACGATATGCGCGTATCGCTGTTATAGAGACCTCCATTGATAAATACCGTATAGGTGGCATGCGCAATGTTTATGAAATTTAATTCCTGTGAACTTTCCTTTTCTTTGAATGGAATTGTATATGTGATTTAATTCAGGTTTTTATTATTGTTACGTTCTTTTGGATTAAAAATACAAACCATGTTTACTTCTTTACTTTTTTTTTTTTGGGGGGGGGGGGGGCAAAAATGCGTTTTGCCCCCCCCCCCCCCCCACTTCCGGCACCTATGATTATACTGACGTATTTTTAACAGTCTTTCTGAGAATGGGATCACGAAAGTTTTCATAAAACGACCGTAATCATGAGTTATGTATAGTGGAAAGTTTATGATTCATCATTTATTTTGCAAATGTATAGTATAAAAAAGTTCAAAAAATAAATATAAAAATAGACCTTCAATGACGTCAGTTGTATTGTATGTTGCCGCCCATCCCTTCTGCATGCGCTCCACCATTGTCTTGAGAAACGACCACAAAAGGGTACATAAATAAGTGATCTAATGAGCACGAAGTGACGTATTTGGAAAATAATTACCGTCAGCTAAATTTTGGTCCGTCTAAATATTGGGCGGTACAATTCCTGATCGGAAAAGGAAAACTACTTTCGTATTACTGAGACTTGATCGTTAAATTGTGTAGCTGTTGTTTTCAACTATAAAATTTACACTGTACAAATGCCGGGTGAGACATAATGAGGGTAATCAATGTCCGATCAACTTTTGTAGGCAATAATTTCCAACTTTGGGAATTTGGTGTTCATTTTTTTTTTAGTGAAAGGTAATTGTGGTCGGCCAAAACATTACACCGGGGTCCCATTTCACAAAACGTGTCATAAGTGAAACATAACAGTTTTTGTTATAAGCTACTGATATCTTTACTTCTGATTGGTTATCACCAAATTTGTCATTGAATTTTGGCATTTGTCATTGGAAAAAGACTTTGTGAAACGGGTCCCAGGTGGGTGCAAAATTGTTTAAACGATGGTCGAACATTACGACTTCCCTCCTGTTCGGCAATTTTGACCCAACATTTATTTTTACGGTGTATTCAATGTAAAGGATATTGTTAAAGAGAAGGTTCATTGATTTAAAAAACTAACTTTAATGTCATTATCGCAAAGGTGACACTTTGATTGGCCAAAGTTATCAAAAGCTAATGCTTGGAAACATTCGAAGTAATGATTATTAACAATTACAAAACGCTTAGATAAAGCCCCGACAAAGCACCTGAAGAGGTCCCCGGTCGCTGCTGAGATATGACGTCACATGTTGAACATGATGTGCACAAGTAGACGATGTCCCATGACATCTCACACAATTTCAGTGCCTGTTTTGTCATATTTTCTTCAGTTATTTCTCTTACTTCAATACCCTCAGGCGAAATGTTTAATCTATTGCCTCACTCTTAACCCCGTGCATGGTACTATTTTGATGGAAAATGCAAGGATAAAAAAATGGAATCCGTCGCTTGTAAACAATATAAGACGCCAATGTATTTTCAGCTGCATACACCGCGGCATGTTCGGCGTTTCAAGAGGGAACAAATGACGTCCATGCTATCATTCCGGAGGTTTTTTAATTTGAAAGTGTGATTTCTTTGATTGTTCATTAACCCATATCCTGTGTATTTACAAACAAAAGAATTTAGTTATCAGAATGAGGGTCATATCCCTTTTTGAATGGTGTAAAATTCCATCATATTTATATACACTAAACTCATTATAATTTGAGAAATAAAAGCATTGCAATTATGTCCATTCTTTATGGGATGTCGTCTGCTTGGGCAGGATTGGTTCATATTGTGACGGCATTAAAACATCGTTATTTTTCCGGCGAATCTCTCGCATATCCCAAATGCTATGGACGTTGTTTTATTTGTATTTTTATAAATCACCCGATATGTAGTTGACCTAAAAACTTGCATGATGGCCATCTGTTAGCTTACCAGTTTCTAGTAATTTTGCCATATTTGTGATTTTCTATGAACCTGCACTTTAACAACAAATCTCCACAATATCCACAGTTGCCGCTTGTTCTTATAAATTTGGGGCGTTGTGGCTCCGTCCCCCTGCTCCACTGCCCAAAATTATATGGGAATCAGTATAGGGGAACCTATTTTTTTATTTGGATGCCTCTCTTTTTCTGAGGATCTAGTTATATGACTCTTTGCGGGATTTTAAGGCACGTTTTGTAAGCGACAATAGGAAATATATAAAAAGGGGCACTTATCAGATCATATATATGAGAACAGACACTTTTCATTAATTACAAAAAGGGAATTTCTTGGTAAAGTAATATTTTCCAGGGGGTCGACGATCGTGATCATCAACATGACACTTTGTTGACGATGCGTGCTCTTTCTCTCTCTTCCCTCTAAGCAATATTTTTCTTTACCTTCTTCTGTGTCTCCCCCCCCCCTCTCTCTCTCTCTCTCTCTCTCTCTACCCATACATAATTATCTACCCCTCTTTCTTATCCTTCCTCTGCTCTTTAATTTATCAAAATATGCAGTACGTTATGTTCTTGAAAGCTCACAGTTTTTATTGTAATATCATGTATAACTTTGAAATAGCAGAGTGTGATCAATCTAAAGAGCCATAGAGATTGATCAATAAAGCTCTGAGAAGATAATTATAAACTTTATATATATAAAGAAATAAAATCATATTCTCACAATCCGTTCACGAAAAGAAGTAAAAGAAAATATTCAAACTTAAAGGTAAAGACCAGTTATGGTCATGCGATTGCATTGTGAAAGAAACGTTGTGGAATCGATCAGAAAAGGTTGATCATCTAGCATCTAGCATCTGCAAGGTTCTGGAATCATCAAAATGATAAGAAATTTGGCCCATTCTTCGTAAAGTTACAAGCACTATACACAGAAAGATGTATATGGGACTATCCTATATCTCTCACAGTCCATGAGAGAAACAAATTTACCAAATATATGAATTAGTAGGCGGTTTCCCGGCAAATATTTTATCATCATGTATTAGTCAAAACATATTCTTTCACATAATTGGTAATGAGAGCTTCCATTTCATTTTTTGAAATTGGGGCGTTACCAATACTGGTCTTTACCTTTAACAGACAACATTACTGTCAGTGTACAATGGATATGAGGAAGAAATTGATGAATTAAACAATCAACGAGGCGTATCCAGGGTTGTCAGAATAGGGCGGGGGAGGGGTAGGGGGGCGAAAGTCGACGTGCTTGTCAGTCACACCCTCTTCGCCATGGGAGGCTGTGGCCGGTTCGGTCCACCCATGGACAACCTTATAGATCCGCCCGTGGTTAACAAGGGTCTGTCTTCTGTCCAACCTTTATCGATTTTGCACCTCCCCTCGAAGTAAACTCTCCTTACGATGTCTTTATTTCTGTAAAGTCCAAATCGATTCGACGATTGTTAAAGTCTCCATTTTGTATTGACAAGAGACACGAAATGAATTATTTGTCTCGTTTTAATGTTAGCGCAGCCCACCGCAGTAGTTGCATCTTTGTTGTATACATGGACTTCAATGCGCAACAGCGAAAGGAATATAGCCATTGACTATATTTTGATAAGACACTTTAAATAGGGCATCGGTTCTACCAACACTTTGAAGGCAAATATAACTTGGAGAACTTAATAAGGAATAAACAAGCGAAGATGGGCTCAAGAGATTGGATGGGTTTCTCCTCTTGGTTTCGTGTAGCTCTTCTTCTCCTGTGTTTCGCCACCTTGAGAGTTGTGGAAGGGGTGGAACAGGCAGAGGTCTACAAAAGGCAGATCGTCCTAGAGGTAATTCGTCGATCGGCTTCCTGCAAAAAGGACACTACCATCATGTATTGATAATGGCTACAATCATGACAATGTCCTTTTAGCATTAACGTGACTAAACAAATTGTTTTACAAATGCTGGTGATAATTGTTTTGTAAGAATATTTGTTGTTGTGTGTATATGTAAATATATGAGAGTGGAAATCCTCTCTTTTAGGTGTCATTATTTTAGGGTTCACTTCGTTTTGGAGAGGAAAATTATATTAGGGGAATCTACTCTTAAATGGGTAAGTATAAGAAAAGGGAGTTCCCTCTTGAGAGGAGTAATTGAAAACAGAGATACTCTCTAAATACAGGTGGCCAAAAGCAAAGAGGAATAAAAGGAGAGAGAGAGAGAGGGGGGGGGGGACAGGGAAAAAAGGAGAGAGAAAGAAAAAATAGAGAGAAAGAGATAAGTGAAGAGGAGAGAGAGAGAGAGAGACATTTTTTTCTTCAAATGGTTAAATGAATGTTATTAGCAGTTGATTAACCCTGTAAAATGTTAAAAGTCAAGGTAACTATATACTCATCCTATTTTCAAGCCGTGTGGAACTCATAATCTTCAATTTTGTTTAAAATAAAGATTGTTTTAATAAATCAAACAAAAGTTAAGAGGAAGGACGTGTTTCCCACCTATTTAGATGAGAATTATTTTGTATTAGTTTTTTTGGGGGGCTGCCGCTGTTGTTATTGTTGTCAATATCATTGCTGCTGTTGATTTTGGATTTTGCTGTTGTTGTTGTTGATTTTGTTCCTTATTGTCAGCGTCTTGTCCTCTTGGGTGAAATCAATATGAAATCCCTCAAAGGGAAACACACCATTCATTCCTATATGGCATAATCTCTCATTAATTATATATTTTTGCAGGAATGTTCTGCAGGTTCTCCCGGGCCAGCTGGACCACCGGGTCCCCCCGGGCCCGACGGGGAGTCCGGGGCACCTAGTCCAGTAACCACAAACTGGAAACAATGCTCTTGGTCGTCAGTCAATGATGGTAGAGATTCGGGATTGTACAAGGTATGATGACGATGATGATGAGATTAATAATGATAATAATAATAATAATGATAATATTAGACACGGTAATAATCGTGCATGGAGCGCCAGGGGTGTCACGTCTGTTAGACATAAGAGCTATAAGAGAACCAACTATGTGTATTATATATTATCATTATTATTATTATTATTATTATTGTTATTATTATCAATATTACTATCAATATAGCGCTTAAAGAGATAGTTGAGTTCTGTTGCAGGAGCGCTACTCAAAATAATATTTTTTTTGTGAGATAATGAAAAACTGAGTGTCAAATTTGAAAGAACAAACAATTTAAATGACAAAATCATCTTTGCTTGATCAAAATCGGTTCAGAGACGCCTGAAATATCCACAAATATCATAATTTCTAATACTTGTGTACCAACACAAATATTAGATAATTTGAAAAAGTTGTTGAAAAAACGAAATAGCGCCTTTTACGTCGTTTTTCAGCCAATGCCGGTGTTGGCTTTTTTGTTGGCGTTTTCGTGTTGGTTATATTACGCACAACCAGCCGGCCCATGTATTGTTATTTTTAATTACATAATTAACGGTCACCGTATTTTTTTAAAAGTGGAGCTGAATTGGTGTGATCGTATTGGCTTAATTTCACACATTGGGTCTAAAATTACCTTCATAGCAATTTTAGCAAGTGTCATAGATAAGGATAAGAGCAATAACCATGCACTTTGAAGGCATTTGCGGTCTGAAAACAGAACTCAACTATCCCTTTAATACATTTACGATGTCTGTAAACGATGGATCATATTGGGTCAGGGGCATCGATAGATCATATAAAACACACAATCGCCATATTTCCAAATTTACTTTTGATCTTCGCAAAAATTCTACATTATTATTAAAAAATAGATATATAAATAAACATGAAAGAAGGAAAAGTATAATCGTTTTGCCTACAAGCATCTGAATATAAACAAATAATTGTCGATCAAAAAAAGATGTGGGGGGGGGGGAGGGAGGGATAATTCATTAATTACAACCCAAACCTCTTCTCATGAATATATCATATTTTTTTCTTAGTCCTGCTCTTTTACAAAAGAGTACTCCGACACAGCTATCTACGTCTCTTGGTCGGGTAACCTTCGGCTATCTGGATCAGGGACGGGGTGCTGTAGATGGTACTTTGCCTTCGGTGGTGTGGAGTGCTCCAATCCGAACAGGATCGAGGCAGTCGTGTACGCTTCGGGTTACAACAGCTATAGCCTGTATCGACCTAGGGTCATGATGGGTGAGTTATCAAAATAATTATCTTGAACGGGAAAATGTCAGGGAATTTCCGTATATAGGTTAACTCAAGTACGAGGTTAGAGGTGTCGTGGTCGATAAGATTAAACCCGTTAACTGGAGATGCGGAGGTCAGGGGTTCGAGCCCCGTTTAGGCACTAATGTCCTTTAGCAAGACAATAACTTACTTTTGCCATATCATTATGATAATAGCTACAATTATACTGCGCACGTATCCATCATAGCAAATGCTCAACGCGCAAAGTAGTATTATTACCCTTGCTTAGGACAGCTGCCCTATAAGGCGCTAATTGCATTCAGGGATAAATACCTTTACCATGCAATTCAATTCAATTCAATTTAATTCAATTCATTTATTTTTCCTCTTTCAATCGTTCATATTTACAATGATGGTATATTTTAACATATTCACATATTTATATACATATAGATCAATTTGCACAATACAATACATTAAAAAATAAACATGAAATTGAAAGGGAAGGAGGGCCGACTAAAAAGCAGAGCTTGTAGGGTGTAAGCCCCCCTGTAAAAGTAATTATCATGAATTATCATTTTATGAGAAAACAAAACAAAAACAACAATAATAACAGTAACTGATTCAGTAATACAAAAAAAAATAACTTTTAAACGCAAAACATTGATAAATACATACATGTTTATAAAAAGAAATAATCAAAGTTGCATAAAGTCACACTACAAATTATATTTGATTGGGGAATGCAATAGCCTAGTAACTATTCAGAAGAAAGCTTTTAAGTCTCCTTTTGAAAATTTGTATCGAATTACACTGTATAATATCATTTGAAAGAGAATTCCACAGTTTTGGACCTGTAAAAACAAATGTCTTTTGTGCAAAAGATGTTCTATTTAATGGTAAATGAAAAGAGCTCGCCTGGCGAGTGAGGTAACTATGAATCGAATCATTTCTTACGAACATATCATTAAAAGGCAAAGGTAATTGTTTAGTGTTGAGCTTGTACATTAACTGTCCAAGCTGAAAAATATACAAGTCTTTAATTTTCAAAATGTTATTATTCAGAAAAAGATTATTCGTGTGTGCCCGGAAATCTGCATTATTAATAATACGAATCGCTCTTTTTTGTAATATAAAGAGTCTATTAATTTGGGAAGTTGCTGCACTGCCCCAGGCAATAAGTCCGTAATTCAAGTAAGGAAGAATAAGCGTAGAATACAAGGATAACATAATATAATGGGGTAGGAAGTGTCTTAATTTACTAAGGATACCAGTGTTGCGAGCAATGATTTTGCAGATATTGTCAGTGTGCGCTTTCCAAGATAGTTTTTCATCAATAACTAGCCCCAAAAATTTAGTTGTTCGGGCCCTTTGAATGACAGTACCATCAAAAATTATACAATTAGGCAAAGTTGCAACCTTATTACTAAATAGCATGTAACTAGTTTTGTCTAAGTTAAGTGACAGTTTGTTTGCTTTTATCCAATTTGCCACACTTTTAAGTTCGTTATTTAGTATTTGCGTCAATTGCTCTGGATCGCGATGTGACAAAAAAATATTTGAGTCGTCAGCAAAAAGTATAAATTGAAGCAGACAAGATGACCTCTCGATGTCGTTTATATAAATAATAAACAAAAGTGGGCCAAGAATACTTCCTTGCGGAACTCCGCAAAGGACAGGTTTACTTTCAGAGAAATTACCATTCAGCGAAACAAACTGGGAGCGCCCTTTAAGATAATTCTTGAACCACGTCAACGGTTTTCCCCTAATTCCATAGTGAGAAAGTTTGTAAAGAAGTACATCATGATCAACAGTATCAAATGCTTTAGAAAAATCTATGAACAAACCAACCGTATTAGAAGACTGATCGATAGCTTCGGCAACCGTTTGAACTAAAGAAAGTATGGCATGAGTAGTGCTACTCTTTTCTCGGAAGCCAAATTGAGTATCAGAGAGGATGTTGTGCTTTTTAAAGAAACTCATGGTCCGTATGTGGACCAACTTTTCAAGGATTTTAGACAAGGTTGTAAGCAATGAGATTGGTCTATAATTACTTGTTAATGTACTGTCACCCTTTTTGAAAATTGGGATTATTTTCGAAATTTTCATTGATTCTGGAATATGTCCAGATAATAATGACAAATTAAATATATAAACGAGAGGATCAACAATATAATTCATAGTTTTCTGTAAAAGGTTGTTATCAATTTCATCAAATCCTGCACTCTTATTTATTTTTAGGCCAGATATAATCTTAATTATCTCTTGTGGGTACGTAGGAGAGAAAAATATAGAACTTTCATTTCTCTCCCCCAAATAGTGGTGAAATGAACGGTACGTGGATGGTATGTGCCTAGCAAGATTAAAACCAACTTGAGAAAAATAATTGTTGAAAATATCTGCCAACTGAACTTCATCTTCAACTATTGCATCATTATGTCTAAGCTTAGTAATCTTAGAATGCTTTGATCCATTGTTGATGGTAGAATTGATGATCTTCCATGTTCTTTTAAGATCATTTTTGCAACGATTGAATTGATCATGATAATAATCTTTTTTAGCAGTACGTATCACTCCTGTAAGTTTATTCTTATAATTAGTATACTGGATCCGTGTTTGATCAGTTAATTTAGATATATATTTATAGTATAATTTATTTTTTCGATTTATTGAACGTAGAATCGAATTCGTTATCCAAGGTAGTCTGGGTGACTTCTTATAATTTTTAGACTTGGGTTTAGAAAAAGGAATATTTCGATTTACATGAGACATAAAAATTCCAATAAAGATTTCATACGACTGGTTAACATCATCTGTATTAAATACGTCATCCCAAGATTCTTCTTCTAGGCTTAGTTTCAATCCACATAGGTTTTCGTCATTATATACACGTCTTTTAGGTGCATCACTAGGAGAGTTATTTGCCTGAAATCGTTCTGAATAATACATGAAAATCGGGAAATGATCAGAAATATCTGACAGAACTATGCCAGCTTTAAATTCAGAGCGTACATTTGAAAAAAAGTTGTCAATAAGAGTTGCCGAAGTATTGGTTATTCTAGTGGGTCTAGAAATAAGTGGCAAGAAAGAGGCAGAGAGGAATGTCTCTAAAAAATCATGTGCATGAATATTAGCATCACTCGTTAAGAGATCATAGTTGAAATCTCCCATTATGATACACTTTTTGTTTTGAACGGAGTGATAGTGTAATAAATTATTCAAAGTGTCCAGAAAATCAGCATGGTTGCTCTGAGGTGGCTTATAAACAACTCCCAAGATAGTTTTTCTTCTATTGCGATCAGTAATTTCAATAAACAAAGTTTCTGCAATTTCATTCATCACTTTCATGTCTTCGATTACAACATATTCAAATTGACTTGGCACAAAGAATGCAACACCACCACCTATTTTGTTTGTACGATTATTTGTAAGTATATCATATCCAGGGAGAGAAAACAGTGTATTATTTTGATCTGAAAGCCACGTCTCAGTTACGCCTAATACTGTATTTTTGGGAACTCCTGTGTTATCTAGAAACGAACGAAACTGTTCATAATTCTTGTTGAGACTTCTAACATTAAGATGTAATATAGACAAGCAAGAATCAGTTATACTTTTGAAAATATTTTTGGCCGAGGACTCAGTATAATAGTTTGAGGAAATGAGACCCGAAGCATTATCATTTGGATCCAATCCACATTTCAATTCATCATTATTAGCACATAATATATCCTGTGTGACATTATCAGAATCACTGGAAATGTTCGTCATCGTGTCAAAGTCAATCATTATTTACAGATAAAATTATGAATGTACAACAAGGCAGAAGCATACTAGGCCCTACTTAATTTGTTGAGATCCTCTTCTCGATGGATGGCTATCGGTGGCATATTGGGGTTCTTCCTCACCAGGATGGTGCCATTTACAGTCCACAGGAATTTCCAGCCAGCCTTCTTCCTTTCCTCATTCACCTTCCTCAGTAGTGACCTCGTTGCCGGGGCAAGATTTTCGTTGATGAACATCATCCTCTCATCTCTTGAGAAGCCCAGCTCCCGAGTAGTTGTCTCCCGCAGCTTCTTTCGACCAGCATACACTTCATCTCTCACCCTCCTGGTTGTAAATCGTACTATGATTGGTACCCTTTACGCCCCCCCCCCCCACTCCGGGAACGAAGGGACCGCATGCGTGTTCCCAAAATCATCTACCCGTATTGACTTTACACACCGGACTTATGCTGAAAAGGGGGAGGGGTGCTGGGAACATGCATATGCGTACCCTAAATAACACTGAATGGGGGGGGGGGGCGGGAGGGGGGGGGGGGGGCATTTACGATACCTGGGTGGAGAATGTAGATTGATGGCTTGCCAAAAGGTATTAGTGCCGCGGCGGTACTCGAACCGCGAACCTTGTGATCCACAGTCAGGTGACGTATCCACCAGACCATGTCACCTCTATGAAAGCATACTTATGGAAACGTCGACACATTTAAAGCAATCATGATCATCATCATTATCAGTCAAATTTCCAGGATTTCACCACGTTTTTATTTCAAAGGAATTAAAACGCCCTTAAAAGGGCTACTGCCCCGTCACAAGCCTTTTATTGAGGAGGGGCGCGGTCTCGACGTTAAGATTAGAAACCTCTGATCGTGATCAGCGTATAGCGCACAAACGAGTTACGCTGAAATATTTACCGTTTTCATTAGGATGTACTCACTTTTTACTGTAGATAATGAATAATGAACTAGGGGAAAGTGGGGCATAATGGAACACTTAATTTCAAACTTTCAATATGACGTCATCAACGACACAAAAACAGTAAAAATAACAGTTTCAGATAGATGTTGTATGCACTTTATTATGTCAACGAGAAACCGACAAAAACCACGGTAAAATTGCAGAGAAACTCGAAACGAATTTTACAAAAGAAAAATCCAACTTGCCCCATCCCTGAGGCAAAATGGCACTCCCCCCTGGGACAAAATGGATCTACGGATCCGTATTGCCCCATCAGAACTCTAACGTTCTATATTGAGTAATGTACCTAAAGTAACTTTAAGCAAACTTGGTGGGCAGAGCTGCATAATGAAAGCCTATAGTAGTTTCAAACATTTATGGGGCAAAACTGGAAAGGTAATCGTAATAAAGCCTGATTTAAAACTAGAAAATGTAGACTTGTAAAATGTGCACTACACTCTCAATTTCTTAGACTGTAATATGGGTCACATTTTCGTTCTGATACAACCACTAGTCACGTAAACCAACTGCTAGGCACATACTTTGAATTCAGCTAACTTATACATCTAAAACTGGCTGGGAAACTAGAACAACTATCGATTTGTTTTATGAACCAACTACTTTCAGAATGGAACATGAAACATTGGTAAACAGGCCCCTATAAAAAGGGCGAAAACAGTATTTTGTTTATTTTTGTGAATTATTTTACAAGACAAAACAAAATTAGTAATGTTGATTTTTATTCCCTTTATGCATTTGTTGTCTCTGTGCTATAATGTCGCCATAATTAAAGCACCTACTGGCTCAACAATGAATGATATTTGGAAATAAAGAGTGGAAAACGTTTAACTTTTAAAAATACAACAAGAAAATCCAAATATAATGATAAAAATACATATATGCATACACACAAGTGCACACGCACATTCACTCAACCATTCAGTCTTTAGGACCAACAGGGACACCATAACATTGGAGTGGTTTACTTTTTTACATTTTTATTTGAAGCCGTAAACCCTTGGCATTTGCTTAAGTCAAGCTTTCACAAGATATGTTATTTTCAATTGGGGCAAAACGGAACCCTGTTCCATTTTGTCCCGTACCTATATAGTCCATTTTGCCCCAATGACATATTTTTTAATAAAAGTTTGCGTAGAAAATACCTGAAGCATAGTTGGCATGCAAACAGGCGAGTCTTAACGTTGATATCTTTATGATTAATATATACAAATATTTGATTAGAATCGATACCAAAATTACCAAATTTCAGCCATATGAACATCCCCTTACTTTAGATCATGAGGCTGTAATTTTTTGGATGAGATCTTACTCCGATGTGCCTCGATTTAACCGGATGAAAATTCAGTGCTGAAATTATTTTGGCATCTTCTCTTCTTCAAGAATTTGCACAGAGGGCGACCTTTTTTAACATATGCTAATTTCAAAGTTCCATTTTGCCCCCCGGGTCCGTTATGCCCCACTTTCCCCTATTTATTTAACAAACAAAAATTCTACTCAAGACATGTACTTGTAAGTTGGCCTTTAAAAAATCAGATATACTGTGCCGATAACAAAATGTGTAAGCTGTTCCCCTGTACCTTTTTATCTTTCAGGGTACTGCTACGGCATCGGTGCTGGCAGCGTAACAGTAGGGTTCTATGTCGGGCAATGCAGCGGCTATGGGACCTACGACTGCTACACCGGATGGAACAGTGGCAGTCATATCATGATCGAAGAAGTTACAAAATCTCCTTACGACTAGGCACAAGAAAGCGCGGTGATAATCCAAGTTCCGACTCCAAGTTTTATTGGCACTGTGGACGCACCGGGACAATTGGAAGTTCTTAAACAAATTTGGAGGCAAACTTTATTTCTGGACTATTAAACCTGAACAATTGAAATGCTTGACAAACTTCAACAATCTTAGTCCGATGAATAAAAGAAAAAAATGTTACCAAGGCAACAACCCGCATTATACTGACGTATTTTTAACAGTCTTTCTGAGAATGGGATCAAGTAAGTTTTCATAAAACGACGGTAATCATGAGTTATGTATAGTGGAAAGTTTATGATTCATCATTTATTCTGCAAATGTATAGTACAAAAAAGTTGAAAAAAATAAAAAAATAAAAATAGACCTTCAATGACGTCAGTCGTATTGTATGTTGCCGCCCATCCCTTCTGCATGCGCTCCACCATTGTCTTGAGAAACGACCACAAAGGGTACGTAAAATAAGTGATCTAATATGCACGAAATGACGTATTTGGAAAATAATTACCGTCAGCTAAGTTTTGGTCCGTCTAAATATTGGGCGGTACAACTGATCGGAAAAGGAAAACTACTTTCGTATTACTGAGACTTGCTCGTGAATTTTGATGGTAGCTGTTGTTTTCAACTATATAATGTACACTGTAACAATGCCGGGTGAGACATAATGAGGGTAATCAATGTCTGACCAACTTTTGTAGGCAATAATTTCCAACTTGGACAATTTGGTGTTCATTTTTTATTTTAGTGAAAGGTAGTTATGGTCGTCCAAAATATTACACCAGGGCCCATTTCACAAAAACGTGTCACCAGTGCAAAATAACAGTTTTTGTTATAAGCTACTGATATCTTTACTTTTGATTAGTTGTCAGCAGATTTGTCACTGATTTTTGTCATTTGTTATTGAAAAAAAAGGCTTTGTGAAACGGGTCCCAGGTGGGTGCAAAATTGTCTAACCGTTGGTCGAACATAACGACTTCCCTCATGTTCGGCAATTTTGACCCAACATTTATTTTTACGGTGTATACAATGTAAAGGATTCTGTTAAAGGACGGGGGCAGGAGAATAGTCCTTTCTACTTCTCGATCAATATTTTTAGGCAGAGAATAGTAAGGAAACAAAAATCGACTACGTGTCCGATCGATTGAGATGGGTGTTATATACAAAGGCCCCCACTGGAAAGTATTGCAACTTGCTTCAGATGTTTTTGTTTAGTTTGGGAAATTTTGATGCAAATCCATTTCCAAGAGATGCTTTTATCGTAGTTAGTTTTCAAATTGATTTGATTTCAGGTTGATAATTATGAATATATTATGTAGTTTGTATCATATTAATAGATTTATTTGCATTCGACGAGTTACCATTTTTATGGTTGTGAAATACTGTTCAAATATTTATTGTTTTCCATGTGGTTTATATTTATTATCATCTGACCATATCAAACAAGGTCCATGTATGATTTTTAAATAAATCCAGTTATTGTCGCTTCTCAATTTTCGCCGGTTTTTAATTGGAATATTAGAATCGTTACGCCAGTTTCAAATATTTGTTTATTTTGTAAAGTTTGTAACGGGAGGGGAGGTTTGGCGATTTTTACGATATAATTGGCCTTATTAGCCACCGCATGCACATACTCCTTTTTTCCCGTATTTTCAATTAATTCGTATAATTTGAATAATATTGCAATGATCGATTAATACATTATAAATGCATTAAATGAAAACTGGGTCATACTATTCGGAATTAATGACGGACCAATAGAGCATTTTGATATCACAGTATACAGTTAACGAACACATTATTCATACCCTTGTAAATTTGATGTTTTTGCGTTTTTCGTAACTCAACAAATTAAAGGTAGGCTGATTGAATTAGGGCCTTTGTTGAATACATTTAGATGTAAGTTTTGATATGTCACATTCTAAAAAAAAACATAAATCGGGACAAGGAATTTTTTCACACAATTAGAAAATGAAAAAACCTGGTAAGGGTGTGAATAATTTAGTTGTTAACTGCACATACTGTATATGTTCACTGGGCCTATACTCCGTTAATCATAACTGCGTCCATCATATCAAAATTTACCCTATTGTGGTAAAAAGAGCTAAAATGACATAATTTATACGCTGTGTAATATTCTAAATTTATATCAAACCAAAACAATATTTTTACGTCACATTTCACTGTGCATGAATCATACCTAATTTCATTACGTATTTGTAGATGAAAATGTTAAATAAAAGAACATGAAGCGGAAACCCTGAATACGTGTGTATTATTGTTCGCTGTTAGCCTTGTCTATCGCGTATTTGAAATGTGCGAACAATTTTTATTGTCGTATATTACTTAATCTGAACATGTCTTTATGGAATGCGCATTACAGTAAGGCCTAAAAAAGATGTTGCATGTCCTTTGCGACCGACCCCAAAACCTTGAAATCTACGGTCGGCTTAAAAAAAAGTTTTTAATAATTTTTTACCGTTTTTTAGAGGAAAAAACATTATACAAAACTGAAAAATATAAGTCCAAAGAGGGAGTTAAAAAAAAAAAAAGTTAAGAAATAAAAGTTCCGACCGACCGACCCATGGATTGGCACCTAAAGGGCAATACAACATCTTTTTTTTTAGGCCTAATGAAACTGCACTTGAGTTGAATTTTCGAAAGTCTTCGCGATCGTGTTATGTAGTTTAAATTTCTTGTTTATAGAGTTCAATTTAGACATGTGGGTAACTAACATGAAAAACTATATTCTTTTGGGCAAGGGAGAGAATATATTGAATGCAAGCAGAATGGAAACAAACGCATGAAGTGTAGTTTGGACCTTGAACCCTGAACCTTAAACTCTGAACCTTGAAGTGATCATCCTTCCAAGCAGCTCCATGAAGCTACCCCGCGATGAACTTGGTGTACTGGCGTGAATCCGTGCTCCCAAAAGATCCTCATATTCAAAGAAAAAAGATCAAAAATGTCAATGAACATTTTGAATGGGAGGGGCGTATGGACAACAATTTTTTTTTGTTCTCAAAGAGGTTCTCAAAAATTGTCGACAGAGGTTGAAAACTAACCTAAAGTTGTAGGCAACATCATTATTTTCGTTTGATGTTTAGATAGTGTGCCACTAAAATGATAGCACACGCGCATATAGAGCACAAACACATCAGAGTACAATGTTGCTTAGTAGACATGTATGTATCAATTACTGGTGGGCCAGCAAAGCAAAGGGGGAAAAACAACAACAACAAGTAGACTATGTACGTCACACTATTGGACGGTGGAGTTTGGAGACATCTTCGAGGGTGAGAGTGCGTATAATGTCCCGGGAACAGATCAAACAAAAAACAATAGGAGGAAAACCTTTATTACGTCCAACCCTAATCGATTTTTTTTTTAGAACCGCTTGAAACACCTCTCTTTACGAAGACTGTTTAAAAAAAAAATAGTAATAAATCGATCTAATTCGTCAAACTTTCTTCTTCCACTGAAGGGCTCCAACCCAAACAAGATCGAGAGAGTGGTGTACGCTTCGGTATGGCGACAGCTTTAACATACTCGGGTCATGGGCCATGATGGGTGAGCAAAGACGTAAAGTGGCGTAGCGAGGGTTATGTCATGGGGGAGGGAGGGGGAATCAGGGCCTCGTTTCATTATTTTCATCACTAACAATTGCCACAGATCTAATAAAAATCTGCTCTTAGCCAATCAAAGGGAAGGATTTCAGTCAGGGGCGGCGGAGCGACTTCCAAAGTGGAAGGGGGGAGGGGGCACCAACAGAAACGGACACTTTCTGGAGAAGAAAAAGGGCACCTAGATAGTGAAATCTCATAGCGAAAATATACCATTTTTTAGACATTGGTACATACCCCTACATTGAGATTATATTATCAGGGATGATTTCAATATTTGTTTATCTTTATACACCATTCAAGATAGGGTAGGTGTAGGGAATGGGAGACCGTAGGGAATGGGAGACCACCAAGCTTGAATCCATCACCGTTTGTCCGTGTTGGCTCCAATATTGCCATAGCGCCATATGTGGACTTTAATAAGACTACTGCATATATCCAATTCATTTTGAAGACTACAATGCTTTCTTTTTCCGAGAAAATTGGCAAAATTGACCAAGATGATCAATTTTGATCGTAAAATTTTGCTCTGATATAAAAACACAATTTTCACCGAATGTTGTGATGTATGCAGATATTTAGGGGTGGCTCTTAAAGAGTAGTTTTAAAAGGAAGTTTATGAAGTGTGCCAACCATCACAGAAAAATTATGGCCATTGTGTGTTGTGAATGGGTGTTGCAATGCACATTATGAATGGTGTCTGATCAGAAATGTGTGTAGGCAATGGGGGACACCAGGTCCAAGATGGGGGCCTACTTTCCCCCAGTTGTCCATTTAATGTTGAAAGGCACTATCATGAAACATATTTGATTGTTCGTGTCGATCAGTTGTTTCTGTGCTGTGAGTTTGATCAATGTAAAAGTCACATTGCCAGAACATTATTCTGAAAGTATTTAAACATAATTTAAAGCACCTTTATTACTGTAAACAAAAAACTACAGAAATATTTGGGCCACATTGTTTTAAAATCATTTCAAAATTACAGTAAGTTCATTGGCTGCATGTATCTCTTTCAAAAAGTGTTTGAACTAACTATAACAATCCCATTTTCATTCAAATTGTATTTAAAATGTCTTGATTTGTAACTGTCTCTTATTACCTACACTTGTAGGTAATGGGAGACCTTTGGTGATGACGTTATTAATCACTGTTATCTTATTAATCAGTTACATCATGACCTCAATTTTGTTACCAAATAAAGAGAAGAAGTTACTGAAGAGAATACAAAACTTTCTGTATGTGTAACATTTTTCATGTTTATGTAAAAAATTATGCAAATGTGCTTAAGGGTCTCCAATTCCCCCTCACCTACCCTATTGCTTAAGCATCATACTTTGCAGTTGGGTGTGATGGTCTGAAAATTCTTTGCGAGCGAGGACAAATTTAAAGATTATTTAATGAGGTCGCAGTGCAAAAAATTACATCTTACAAAGAGGAAAAAACGATCCTGATGAGGTTATATTACATTCTCATAACCGAAGACTGAAAAGACCTTTGATAAGTAACATAATATATCATCTATAAATGCAAGCGAGCCTTTGATGAAATTGCTCTTAGTCGCGTGAAATTAGGGGTGCATTTAATGATGAAAGGAAAAAGGGATACTTATCGAAAGGGATAAGACACTTATTAGGAGCACGTGCCAAAGTACAGAGGGTAATTATCAAAGGTGAAATGGGGCACTTCTTACATCCACAAAAAGAGGCACTCACCAGGGATGAAAAAGGGCTTTTATGAGAATGGGAAATGGGCATTTGTCGACGGAAAGGGGCACCAATCAGGTCTTGATAGGGACATTTATCAGAGATGCAAAGGGGTAATTATGAGGAGGGGAAGGGGCACTAATAAGAAGGGAAAATAGTATTTATTAGAAAAAAAATGGGCATTTGTCAAAATAAAAGGGGCATTTATTAGAGGTGAAAAGGGACAATCGGCATATATGAAAAGATCACTTTTTCAAACAATTGCATTTTGATGTTTTTAGAGGCGTCAGAGAAAGACGAATCGGACATTCCGACGATTGTCATCATCATAAACATCAAGTCATCAACCTCATCATAATCATTCACCACATCATTTCATTCATCATCTCGACTACCATCAACATCACCATCGCTATCATCATAATCCTAATCCCGTCATCATCACCATCTTCTCCTTCATCGTCATCATCATCATAAACATCATCTTCACTACCATCATCACCATCCTCATCATCACCACCATCATCATTATCATCATCATCCTCATAAACATCATCACCATTATCACCAACACCACAATCATCATCGTAATCACCATCACCGCCATCATCATCATAATCACCATCACCTCCGCTTTTACCACCAAAGAAAAATACTTGTTTTCGTTGCTTGTAACATTTGGTGACATTTCTGATACTGTTGTGATCACAATATACAGTTGTA